ACTTGACTGCTAACCAGAAGGCTGGTGATTCAAACCCACCAGCCACTCCTTGGAAGGAAGGTTGGGCAATCTACTTCCGTAGTGATACTGCCTGGGAAACCCAAGGAGGGGTCTCTATGAGTCGGGGCCGACTCCACGGCACACAACAACAACTTTTGTCATGTTGTCAGAAGGAACCATTCCCTGGAGAAGGATATCATGCTTGGTAAAGTGGAGAGTCAATGAAAAAGGGGAAGGCTCACAACGAGATGGATTGACACAGTGGCTGCAACGATGGGCTCAGGTTATAGCAAGGATTGTGAGGCTGGCACGGGACCAGGCAGTGTTTCGTTCTCCTATACATGAGGTCGCTATGAGTCAGAGCTGACCCGACGGCACCTAACAACAGCAACAACGATTATGGTTGTTTCATGGTCTTCTGGCGTGTATAGTTTCTCATGACAAGTTGGCTGTCCTTACTGTTATTCTCCTGTATATAATGTCTTTTTTCTCTGGCTTTTAAGACTTTTCTCTTTATCCTTGGTTTTCAACAGATAGAGCATGAGGCTCTTGGCTGTAATTTTCTTAGTATTCTTCCTATTTTGGGTTCGCTGAGATTCCTGAATGTTGGCTAGGATTTTTATTTTTGTTTTTATTGGTTGGTTTATTTTGTCTTTAAATCAAATGAGGGGAGGCGAGGGGAATTGGCCAGTATTTCTTCAAATATTTTTTCAGTTCCTGCTCTCTCTTCACTCCTTTTGGGACTCTAATTACACTTGATACTCTCCCACAAGTCATTAAAACCAAAACCAAACCCACTGCCATCGATTCTAGCTCATAACAACCCGTATTGGGTTTCCAAGGTGGTAAGTATTTACGGAAGTAGATTGCCCCCCTTCCTTCCACAGAGAAGCTAGTGAGTTTGAACCATCAACCTTCTGCTTAGCAGTCAGATGCCTTAGGCACTGTGCCACCAGAGTTCCTCCCACAAGTCATTAAAGCTCTGTTAATTTTTTCAAATATTTTTCCTGTCTGTGCTTCAGTTTGAATTATTTCATTGATCTGTCTTTGAGTTAAGTGATTCTTCTGTTATGTCTAATCCAATCTTCTGTTAATGCTATCTAATGACTTTTTTTAGGAGCTCTGGTAGTGTAGTGCCTAAGGCACTTGACTGCTAACCAGAAGGCTGGCGGTTCAAACCCATCAGCCACTCTGAAGGAAGTTGGGCAATCTACTTCCGTAGTGATACTGCCTTGGAAACCCAAAGAGGGGTTGCTATGAGTCGGGTCCAACTCGATGGCACATAACAACAACAACAATGACTTTTTTTATTTTAGGAATTATGATTTTCATTTCTAGGATTTCTATTTGATTCTTACTTATAATATCCACATCTGTCCTGAAATTCCCCATCTCACCACCTATTCTATCAAGTCCAGTAGATTCTTTAATAAATTTATTTTAGGTGTTTTAAACTCCTGGTCTGCTCATTCTAACTTCTGGATAGGCTATGGATCTGTTTCTATTGACTGTTTTTTCAATAGATTGGGTCACATTTTCCTATTTCTTCTCATGTCTACTAATTTTTTGTTGTATACTAGACAATGTAGATAATATATTGAAGAGATTCAAGATTCTGTTATCTTCCTTCCTCTGAAGAATACTGAGTTTTGTTTTGAGGAGCTCTGGTAGTGTGGTGGATAAGGCACTTAGCTGCTAATCAGAAGTCAGAGGTTCAAACCCACCAACCGCTCCATGGAAGGAAGATGGGACAGTAATCACCTTGCTCTTTTGGAGGCTTGGTTTGAGGCTTTAGCAGGGCAAGTCCATTTTGGTTTTTCTGTTAGTTCTAGGACACATCGCTTAACCTGGGCATAGTGTTTATTCCTAAGGCTGGGACTTTCTGAGTTTCAGTGGAAAGCCTTGAGTGTTACCAAGCCCCTCTTACTTGGTGGTACTTAAACTCAAAATTCTGTCTCCCCAGGGGTGAACAGCTTCTACATCTATGTCTGATTCTACCAACTTTCCAATTTTTACCACCCCTTCCCCAGCTCCTTGGAGTCTTGGCCAGTTCAGGGACCATCCAAGGATTATGCAGATTTTGTCCCTCCTTGGAGTTCCCTGCTTTCCAATATTTTCCCTTCAACTTCCTGCTTCCCTGGTACCCAAGACTCTGACCTTTGACTCCTCAGACCAATCAGACTTAATCTTTCTGCTTGAGGTCTCTTTGCTGGGCTAAGGGGACTGGCTGTGCCCTCCAGGGAAAAATAATAACAATTCAGATTTTACCTTCTTTGAAGGGTCAAATCTCCTCCAGTTTCTGGCTGCTCTTTATCATTTTCACACACCTTCACCTGCACACCTATCACCTTCACCTGCATACCTGTCCCCTTCACCTGCACACCTATCACCTTCACCTGCACACCTATCCCTTCACCTGCACACCTATCCCTTCACCTGCACACCCATCCCCTTCACCTACACACCTATTGCCTTCACCTGCACAGCTATCGCCTTCACCTGCACACCTATCCCTTCACCTGCACACCTGTCCCCTTCACCTGCACACCTATCCCCTTCACCTGCACACCCATCCCCTTCACCTGCACACCTGTCCCCTTCACCTGCACACCTATCGCCTTCACCTGCACACCTATCCCTTCACCTGCACACCTATCCCCTTCACCTGCACACCTATC